AAATGGTGATACGTTTTCGTTAAAACACAGAACAAGAAGAAGATAAAGGCGCGTCCAAATTACTCGTGCTCGTGCAGGTCGGGAGACTCGTCTGGCTTCTACTTGTGCCAGTAAATCTTCGTCCACACTTCTTCAGTTGCTCGCCAGGCTTCGGCGCGTGAGGATCCGTATATTTACTCGTAGTGTGTATAGGTTGTAGTCGTATTTTAGTTTATAGATTCTAAATTAAAAATTAAAAATTTGTTTGTTTCGTGACTTGTCATATCGTCCACATTACTCGCGAGCATAGCGAGTCGCACGAACACGAGTAATGTGGACGCGCCTTTACATATGAGCAAAGTCTGTCTCCCTTTTCCTGTTGTTGTTGTTGTTGTTGTTGTTGTTTCGTTAGCTGCTTCACTAGCAGACACAGTGCTCCGCTCCGCACCGCACTCTTCATTGCCTTCGTAAAATGATTTAACATGTCACGCAGAACTAGAAAGCAAAATCGCTTTCAAATTCCCACTCATTACGATTATTGTCCCCCATTTCCATAAACAACGACAGAAAACGAGAGCTCCCAGGCTGCAATACAGTTTCGTACTCAGTATCAGAGAAACGCTGTAATTCACTAACATGAAATGTGTAGAAGGGCAAATATTTGTATATTTTCAATACCAGAGCTTCAAGTTTTATTGGGAAAGTATCACAGATATTCTTTACACAGTTTTGAGATGGCGTTCAAAACATCCTATTGAAATTATGACCATTTATATTCGGCCTCTTAGTTTTGTAAATTACATTAGATTTTCCTCGTCCAAGTACTTCTTAAAATTGGTGTTCATGTTATCATAACAAAAGCCGATAATATTCCATTTGACTTTGTATCTAAAAAGTAAGTAAAGTACCAGACCGTGAAGGTCCATAGGGTTGTGAGACGTTGAGGGTCCCACATTATCTAGACAATCGGCTCAAAGATGGAGGTAAGGTTGTCAGCCTTACGCACCGGCCGCGCTTTACTCAACAGGAAAATTATTTAATTCATTCGTGGTTCCCATTTCTGTTAGAAGCTGAGTAAACCCCAGGGCCCAGTGCGGCTGGAAGGATTAGGTCAACTGAAAAAAATATGATCTTATCTTGACTTGGACCCGCGACCTTCCGGCTTGTAGCATAGTGCCTCAAACAACTACGCTACCGCGTGCCCCTGACTTTATATCTACGAATTCAAATTTGAACGGCAGCAGCACGATTTCAGAGGTTACCCATTTGATTGACTTAGAGATAATAGTACACAGGGCGATTCTAAATTATTGTCTGGATTTTCGCGGCTTATAGTTTTGAAATCGGAAAAATATTGCAACAGTCTCAAACAATTCGTTGTTGCTGGTTACGGAATATGGTTAACTCAAAACGTTATATTTATTACAGGATAAATACTGGGAAATACTGAACTTCAACATGCTCGTCTTCTATGGCACGTAAGTTGTCAAAACTTCCCGCATTCGATCAACAACTTCCTCCGAAGTGCTCGGTCTTCCCATTCCTTTTCGGTGCAGAACACTATCAGAATTTTGAAATTTTTTTAATGAACATCGGATAATATTTTCTGAAGGCGGCTCTCTTCCATAGTGAGTTCTGTAACGACACTGCATTTTGGTATCGGACTCTGTTTCCAGAGACCAAAGCACGCTCAACGCTTTCTCTTGAGCAGTCACCATTTTGAATTATGACGTCATATTTTCCCCACTACATCAATGCTGCTAGTACAGCGTTGTCAAATAAAATATTTTGAGTTACAATTTCACATTTCTTAGACGGTTTTATGTTGTTCCTTCCGCTTTTGAATATTATACGCCAATGAAACCCACACAATAATTTAGAATCAATCTCTACAATCCTTGCGTCTTTCGTGGGAGGAAGAATTGAACCAAGGTTGGTATTAATATTATGGATTTTCAGTTAGGTGCTTCTGCATATGGCAACAGAAGGGGCCTCACTGAAGTCCTTTGAAATTCTTCATCAGAATACGGTGTAAATACATTCATTCCAGTAGCGTTGCTATTTGTCTGTGCTCGCGGAAATTTCGATCAAACAAACGCGAAATCAGAATTTACCGTGAACTGAATCAGGGGCCGTGTATTAATTTGCGTTAGTTGATTCTGAGACCGCAGTTTAAGTTCATTTTCATTTAAAGAGCTATGTTTGAAAATCGATCGAATTTCGTACTTGAGAGATGCACCTTTTAAAATTTTTTTGGTCTGAAGATAAGCACTAATATCGATGCGTCGTCCTACAGAGAACATAAGTGTTGCACGACAGACCGCACATGTACTTAAACTGAAGTTATTTGCTAAGAGTTTCACTGAAAAGAAAATATAATTTAACGTCACATGATTTTAGAGAAAAGCAGGACATTCGCGGGCCCAGAGCCAACTGACCCCACCTGGGAACACATGATATCACAACTGCCCACCGGAATAAAGCGCCAGTAACAAGCCTCTGATTCATGTACTACTTTGCTTCTGGTTTCGACACTAACAATGCATAACAAAACTCTATTTCGACAACAAGCTTTCAGGACAAATATCTTCCTCATGGAACAAGTACACAGTGATGATCGTAACTTTAAATCTAAGAAATTTTATTTTCAATTCTTAATTAGCAGGATGAGAACTCGGGACAATTGAAACTGCCTCGGCTAACCTGGAAGTTGTGGCCACCATATTTCTTTTTGTTGCTAGTGGGGTGGGACTAAGTCCCTTGTAGTGCGGCCACTTCTGGCCTACTGTACCAGCCCCAGCAATTGGTGGAATGAAGACTGGCAGGGGAAACCGAAGTATTCGGAGAAAACCTGCCCCAGAGCCAATTAGTCCACACAAATCTCACTTGACCAGACCCGGGATCGAACCCGGGCCGCCGCGCTGGGAAGCCAGCGACTAACCGCTTGAGCTATGGCGCGGCCGCAGTGGCCACCCTAAGTACTGTAACGGATTTGGTCAATGCATTGTCAGGCAACAGCTCTTTAAGTAAACACTGTCCAACACGCAACAACTGATGAGGCTCTGTTTTCTATTTCGTCGGCGCAAGACGCAGTGCTGCTAACGGACAAATGAACTCGCAGTCTGTCACGTGACACGCGTTTTCTGTGTGGTCTCAATACGCATCAATAGAACTGTGTTTTCTATGCGTGGTCCGTGCCGGGAGGATATGAGAGAATACGGGAATGGGAATTAACTTCACTTGAGTTTCGAAGTTCCAAGGGAATAGCATACCGGGATTAGAACTCCGACCCCATAGTTGTCCAAGCCGTAGCCAGTCGCTATAGAAACTAAGCTATCCCGCCTCTATCGATAAATATTATTCGGATTATTAAATCGGTACAAATTGGTCGGGTATTGTTCACAGCCGGTACGGTACAGTAGCCGAGCCGTCTAAGGCATCGCTCGCTCGGAAGCCGGGATCGTGGGTTCGAATCCCACTCAGAGCATGGGTGTTTGGTATGTGTATGTGTTTATTCTGTGTTTGTGTTGTCCTTGTGCTTAGGTACAGGGCTTGAGACGAGCTGATCACTTGTCCAAGGAGTACTTCCGTCTGCGAAGTGGTCATGAACTGAAAAATCAGAGGTCGGGGTTCAAGGGGAATGTAAAGCCAGTGAAAAGAAAATTGTTCATATGGCTGTTTGGTACCTTCATGATGAGGAAACAGCATGGAACATACAGACACACATGGGAAGAAAGTATAGGTAAATGTGTACTCAATGTGGATATAATTAGTATTAATCTACATGAAGGTATGTTCCTTTAAAAGGTTTCATTGAAAAAAAAACATTAAATTTCGGATTCAATAGTACCTAGCTTTTATCTGAACGGGTGAAAAACATTCAGCTAATGAACTTTAATTATAATTAAATATTTAGTTTATTTATCAGTACAGGGGTACTATAAATGATTTCTTCGTTTTTAAAACGCTATATTTGCCAAAACATTACACGCTGAATGCGCGTTGCACTGCTATAACAGACGAACATCTCGCATATTCCAGCAAACAAAAACTCTTTTCTTGTTTTGTCGCCATTTTGTAAAGGCACTGAACTCGTGCTGCCAACTGGTGCACACAATACAAACTTGGTGAGTTTACGGTTCTTCTTATATATATCACATTTGTATTTGTAAACTTTGGAAAATACAGCGTTTTAAAAACGAATGAATCATTTATAGTATCCCTGTATAACACTAACTCCCTTGCCGGCTTAAGGTTTCGTACTGGTAGCTACTACAAATCTGTGAGCTTCGAAATTACTTCCTTCAAACTGCTGAAGCTTCGAGAACGCCTATCGGAGATTTTCGTTTCAGCGACGTAACTCCTGCTCTCGAAGTCTCGTTGTGCTCACATCTTCAGAATCGTCAGGGCTAAAGGTATGTTAATCCGACGTCATGAAGCCATTTTAGAGCTCATGTTGAAGTTCGAATTATTTAAACCCTCTACACTAAAAGGTCTAACGATTCTCTAAGCTAGAGAATAAAAACTGAATACAGTGAAAAATACATGTGCCTTATATATTCTTAAAAATTTAAAAATTCAATTTCAAAAGATCTCCACTGAAACTTTGATACGCATGTTCTAAAAAATTCTCTCGTTTGTGGAGCCGTGGTTCTCGTCCGATCACAGATGTTAAGCAACTTTGAGCGTGGTCAGTATTTGGATGAGTGACCGCTTGACACCACGTGCTCTTGGCAATTCATTTGACCGCCTCTGTGAACTAGTGATCGGAGCCAATGAGTTTCTTTTCGTTATGTTTTTAATAATATCATGTGAAGAATTAAGGGGTAGTCACTTCAGCAAGTCTGTTCCTTTGTATATTGGCCGAAATTTAAAACTGTTGGTAGTGGGAGGCACAGTGGGAAAATTTCAGACGAAAGGGAGTTTCCAACCCCTTGTATAATGACGTCAGTCATTGTTAAAGTTGTTAAAGTGAGGCTTAAAAATAAATATAAACCTGCAGAGAAAATGTAATGACTTACCATTTGGGTCTACTGGTCGATTTGACAAGTGGTGTCATGCCATCGCGGAACAAGTTCTTGTTTTTGCTGATGTTAACGATACTGAAGATGACTCTCTGGAACACAATAAAATCAGATAAATTCAACTTTCCTTTCCAATACAAATAACTGATGGACGAGGCAAGACGGACATTTTGGATTTAGGCCTAAGCAATATATATACATTGCGGAGTGTTGGCCCTTTACTAGGTAGTGACCACGAAACAAACACGTTCCCACTGCAACGAGTTCACGAGCAACACCAGAGGAACTGTTGAAAACGATGTTTCCCACGCGGTCCGTGCCGAGATGTTATATCCGAGGCAAGTTTAAAGTTTGTAGGTCAGTCTGCTTTAATCCGTGTAGTTGAAAACCAGTGGGCAACGAAGTAAGCGCGCAAACTGAAGAATCACCACCGTTAGAAGCCGTTACTAGGAAAAGTATGAAGACAGAGAAGACTAAAAAGACTTAGCGTGTACTGTAGTGATTTTAGAGAGTGTGGAGATCAGCGATGTTACTATAAATAAATGTATTCGCGAATCGTGCGTTAAAGTGGCCAATAGACATAATCTCCAACCCAAACTCCGTCTATAGTCACATATACGCATGATAACATCTTAGAAGCAGGAATTATGTTTCTTTGGCTTGAATTTACACCTCTTAACTTCGAGGAAGTGAGACTGGGTAAAAAGTAAAAAAAAAAGTAAAGCTATCACTGTAACAGGCCGTGAAGGCCCATTGGGTTGTGAGACGTTGAGGGTTCCACACTATCTAGACAGTCGGCTCAGAGATGGCGGTAAGGTTGTCAGCCTTATGAACGGCCACGCTTTACCCCCCCAGGAAAATTATTCAATTAATTCCTGGTACTCATTTCTGTTAGAGGCTGAGTCAACCCCAGAGCCATTGTGCGGCTGGAAGGATTAGGTCAACTGAAGTATGTATTGACCTAATCGGGATTCGAAACCGCGACCTTCAGGCTAGTAGCACGTTGTCTCAATTAATTACGGTACCGTGTGCCTTAGTCAGTTAGGTGATGCTACTTGAAACTAAGATGGTTCACTGTTTATTTATTACGAATATCTGGGTGATATTATTCACTACTCCGCCAATATTACTTTCTCAAATAATAATTCACAAGCCTCCGCATTTTCTTCCTGCCAAATTGTTATTTTAGTCTCAAAAAAGTTTTATAAGACGTGCCACTTGCTTTAACAACAAAGAACTTTCCATTAAGCCCACAGGGTGCATCTGTTGGACTTATATCTCTCTTAGAATAAACAGCGATATTTCCCTTAAAACATTAAACTAATAGTTATTTATGATAGATAGTGAATGAGTTTCTGTGAGGAAATAACTGAATTTTTAAAAATGTTTAAATGGATCAGACTTCAAAGATTGGATCGGCGATCTCGTATGACAAATAAGATAGAAAGAATTTTAATGGTTTTATAGATACAATTTCGGATTCTTGTCCTAACATGAAGGTAAAATAATTAGAAGAAAAAAATGAGTATCTCTCTGTGATACGAAACGCCGTGGAATGTAATACTTTATCTTACGTAAAACATCTGTTATATATAATATACTTAATCAGCGACAGAAATGTTCCAGTGGCATACTGATTATGGACAAGTTTTATGCCGCAAAACAATGCTGGCCCTTCAGGAACAGTTGGAGGAGGTGCGCTGTTAGCAATGCCTCTCAGTACCTCATTAAACAGTTTCATTAACGTTTCATTATGTAGCTGTGAGGACAAATCTCAAGTAGGGCTCGTTGTGGAGTACACTTTGGAACACACATTTATTTAAATAAGATATAGATACTCGAAAAAATTACGTTTATATTTTCCGAGTCAATACTAAGAGTAACATGACAGATTTCTGTAGCGACGTATGTACATATTGTCACGTGTCACAGTAACGAAGACGCGGGTTTGGATTGGTAATTGGATGCACTGGATACTTGCAGGCCGTAACTACAAATAATTATAATACTATTGCTAATTTACATAATTTAAAATCACTCCACACTAATCTTCTGTTTGTCTGCACAAGTCCTCACGGGTTTATAACACAGGAACAAGTCTCAATAAATCACATATGTACTACAGAACACATAAAGTCTTCAAACGACACGTTAAATCTTCACAGGCTGACTTCTTGTACTCTTCGTCAACTACGAAATTCCCGTGACTATCTCCTACCGAGAACTGACTCGTCCCTTATGAAGCCGAGGAACGGACATGCATCACAGAAGACACGTCACATGACCACTACCGGCCACCGAGTGACGTCACCGCGGACAAGGAAAACAGAACCTTCTCTATTGTTGCGTGTTCGACAGTGTTTACAGAGCTGTTGCCTGGAAACACGTTAATCAAATCCGTTACAATAATTTTCATTTCATGCATCCTGCTGTGTTACAATATATACAACTTGTTAACTTCCCATACATTACGTACAATTCTCCGTATGATGAGGCTCCAACTATTCCATTAATTATTGGGCCTCCTATACAATTTTATAATGAAACATTGAAATTTACTATTTGTCGACGGATACGTATGTAAAGTGGAACCAACGACTGATTCGGTGTTAAAAAACATCAATCAAATTTTAATTTTGTTTTTTATATATGACTTTTATTGGTTTTAAATAACCTACTTATTGTATTCTTAGCGGCCTCCGTAGTCTAGAGGTAACGTTCCCACCTCATGACTCGTAGTACGCAGGTTCAAATACCTGGCGGAGGTCGTCGAATTTTTAAGGACGGAAAAATTCAGGGTACAAGTCCTCCGGGAGGGACTTTAAGCCGTGGGTCCCGTGTCGTAGCTTTACGGCACGTAAAAGAACCTCATATCTCCAAAGGAGGTCACTGAGCCAAATTACGGACATTTCCCGCCCAACAGCAGTCTCTAATACCTCCGGTAGATGGGGGAAGCATTATAGATACCTCTCAGCTAGTAGAGCCGATCTCGCTGGCTGGGCGGGACTGATGGTAAGCACCAGTACCGGTAGGATATAGAGACTGGTAGAAATCTTAGAGGGAAGCACAATGGACCAATACAGGTCTAAGTGCATGGGGAAACCCACCCTCTTCAATAACTAACTAACTAACTAACTACTGTATCCTTACTGTAAATTATCTTAAATGATTTATGACATTGTATCAAATTTTGCGTACTGCAGTTCAGTGGTGTACGTTTGTTGATTTGTGTCTGCCTGATGATGACCACTAGTGGCCGAAACATGTAGCAGAATTATATCTGGGCATTGTCCTTGAAGTTCTTTTATTGTTGTGTTGTGACGGTCAAATAAATAAGTTGTATATCCGTTACAATATTTTATGTAAATGTTACTTTTTCGTAGTCAATGTACCTGGGTAATATTCTGTCAATTATGGGCTAAGATATAATTGGAGGTCTATTTGAAAATATCGGCCCTAAGGATAGAAATAGGAAACAGTTTCATTTTTGGAGTCTAAAGAGAATATCTTTCATTACACCGCCACTTTCAGTTTATTCTCAAGATTTGCAACGTACATGTAAATACATGAAACAATTTGGACTTATGCATAAATCGTAATAATAAAGAATGTAATTGCCATCTTGGCTGAATTCTAATATCTCTAAAATGACAGTCTGGGAATTGCTCTGTCTTCTTACCGTCCTCTGAAGAAGCGTGGAACATTAATTCTTCCTGGAAGTTAATCTCAGAAATACTCCTCAAAATCATTTATGTACACGATTTTGAAATCACAGCTGCAAAAAGAGATGATTACCAACGATTTTAGTGACAGAATAACAGAAACGAAAACTGATGAGTATAGGGACGCACAGAAGGGAGGAAAGCGAAGTAGAATGACCATAAAACTTTGAAGAAGAGAACTCAAGAAACAAAAGGATACAAGAATATAGAGAAGCAATTCTCCTTATAATGTACGTTGATTAAAATGGAAAACAGAAACAGAGGAAAGAGAGGGGAATAGAGAAGGGAGAAGGGCTTCAAAATTAAGCCAGGAAATGCGCCCATTTCATTTCAGTTCAGAAACTTCTTCCAGAGTCAGCAGAAAAAAAAGTTTTAGAAGACACGTACAGTTGCAAATGAATTTAAATTGAAGAAATTTCCTTACAGGCTCGGAAACTGTTAACAATATCTACCGGCTGACTTATTCCCATAATTTTCGAAAGGGCCAACTACATACAGCGTAAAAAAAATTAAACTGAAATTACGCAAAACGATTTTGGTTTTCCTCTAATTTATATCATTTAACGCAGATGGTTACTGAAAGGGGAATGACAAGAAATCCACTGTAGGAAAGGAATGTTAATTGCAGAAATTTCTTCCAAATATATATGTGATCTGTTCAAGAAAGAAGAGCATAAATGTGCTATGAATTAGCCTACCTACAGTGCATCCTTAGATTTCGCGAATAGAATCAAGGACAAGTAACATCTTCGGCCGTTCTACTTAAACAGAGCATCTCCTCTTACGTTTTGTGTGGTTCCGCTCCAGCATCATTTCAAACTACGAAACAGATTTGGCTGCAGTGAAGGGAATACACAGAGGACATAATCCCTAGTACACAGGAGGATAACATCAAAGGGAATCTTAGAAGACCATGGCAGGATGGCGGGGACTGAGAGCGTCTCATTCGGGATAGAGTCCATTTTGGGGCCTTTGAGAAAATGACAGTGGATCTTCGAATTGTATATAAGTAAAGATATTTCTTCGTTTGAATAAATATCATCTTTTCATAAAAGAAACTGCAACGTGAAGTTAGATATTTTAAAGTCTCCTTGATTTAAATATATTTTCTGACACCTAATTTCTGACAGTTCATTATATACAATAGTTACGCTATACTGTAATATTGGCTAGGAGTTCATTTGCATGTTAACATGTAAGTGTAATTGTATTGTGATAGTATTCATTATATGTAGAGTGTGACTATTACTTTTGTTTAATGTTGTGTAGTTCTGCAGTTTTGACTTATTGACGTAATCTATTACAACTGCACAGGATTAAAACCAATTTGCAGTCAAATAATAATAATTCAATTCAATTCGTGTTTATTT